AAATATCACAGAAAAGTCGACCTAAATTCTATATCTTTGCAGAGAATCTTTTTCGTATGAAGTGATAGTCATTACCATTGAATTTCTATACAAACAACATTCTACCAATGATACTACAATGAATACTTTAGTAATAAGTAATTATAATAGAGGAAATGATGTATATGTATGAGTGAATACACATAATAAAAATGCTTTACGCATCATATATAAAATTTCATTTCATAAAAAAATTCTTTGTTTTTATTATTATAGGTTATTTATTTTTTTTTCTTTATTAAAAAAATTTTGGATAAGCAAATTGAAAAAATATATTCTCTTTACTGTAATTACGTTTAATTGAGATGTCATTTTTAGGTAAAAATTCCTGAAAAAATGATTTGCCTTCACTGAAATTTTGTACACTGCATTATTTTAATATTTATTTTACAAACATGAACTACGATATCCCCATCATGCGTCTATCGTATCGATGTATAAACTTATTGATTAGTTTTCTCTTATGCGTATATAATAATTGGTTAGATAGAATAAGTAGTTTAGTAACTGTGAACGCACACTTTCAGTCTTTCATATGTATATCTTTTTTTGATGGTAGAGTGCGCGTCTCGCAGTGACCGTGTTAGATACGACATCGGTACGCATTTGTTTTGTAATAAATGTATAGAAAATAATAAATAAAATTGACATAAGAATTATATAAATCTTATGTCAGTATATAAATCTGCGACAAAAAATAAGAATTTGTCGAATATTTTCTTCAAAATAATTAGTGAATACTTATATATTATATTCTTTTAATACAAATTAAAACAGAAGTTTATTTTCGTACTAGCTATAAAGTAGAACTCCCAATGCTTTTTTTTGCGTAGTTTCTCCAGTAGAACTAATTCACTCTATATTACTTCGACTTTTATTATTACTACTACTATTATTACTATTACTGATAATAATAATAAAAATGTATTTAAATATTATTTATATACATCTAGATATTATTTAATAAATTTTATATTATAATAGAAAATTACCTCCGACTGATCGTGAGTAAGAAATAATGTGGAAACAAATGCATAACGATCATAAGATAGTAAAACAAGGAGAAAATTACGTCTATCTTTTTAGTGTATAAAATGTAAAATAAACCATACATTTTTCGAAAATTTAATATTTTAGAAACTCAGATGCCTTGACATAAACGATTAGACATGTATTTTCTTTGCCATAATATCATCTGGCTAAAACTCATTAAAATGATCGAGAGAGTTTTCGGAGCTTCTCCGTACGAGCATTGTGAAACATATTTCTTTGTGTTTGAAAATGTTCAAAAAATCTGAGCATTATCTATTTATGCACACAACCAAGCAGACAATCGCTACTTCACGGATATAAACATACACTATTCAAGCGTATATATGAAAATCAGTAGTGAAAATACGAGCTTCATTTCTTTTGCCGCAAATTTCGAGGAGCGCCACAATACTAAACTTTATCTTCGCGAAAAATGTCGAAAATAGCATTTATGCCATCAATGAGAACAGAAGTGAGCCTTAATCAATTTTGATAAACAAGATCTCATTGTAAAGACGAAAGTTTAGTATATTGTAGTCTAGCATATAGGTATCAAATTTGTGAAAAAGCTTTTTATTTGTTATTATAAACTATTTTCCAAAAATATCATTTTTTACAAAACCAGTGGTAATGAATAACCTTAACGAAATAGAATACGAGGATCGCGAAGGGGGAGGATCTTGGAGGGATCTAGAAGTGGAATTATTGGAGGGATTTAGTATTTGCGGCAATAAACTTTTGAGTTCCTAAAGCCATATAATAATAATAATATACAGTTAGAGAAACATACAAATTTAAAAATATACAAATATGAGAATAAAGAATAATTGATACATTTATATCTTCTAAATCCAGTTTTAAAAAATGATATATTTTTCTACAGTGACTATGTTTCAATATTGTGTATGTAAATATTTATTTTTACTCTTCACTATCTTTTTTTATCACTGAAAGATGATAAGGCATAAATTATTTTTTGAATCGTATACAAGAAATAAAGTATATGTCGCACTTGAAATTGTTAAAAATACTATCATAGAATGTTATCATAAAATACTATCATAAAATACTATCATAATCATAGAAATTTTTCATTGAGATTTTTTAGAAATAAATTTTCTTAGTATAATTACACAAATACCGAAATGATAAATACTCTATATGTAAATTATTACATCAGTCATCCCTAAATACTACGTACGAACAAAAATATTAATTCAAAGCCTAATTTTTTCATAAAATTTGGGTTTATCATTACGACAGAGTTATTTTTTTTCTTAAACGATATATATCCAATACGATCATTCAAAACTTATCATTTACGCGTAATTGCTTTATGCGTTGTCATTTATGCGTAATTGCTTCATGAATAAAACTCTTGAAATAATATGAATGTTTGCTATATTACTTCGTCGCGCAATCATGCTTAATACTAATTATTAATATAAAAGCCTTAATCTGTGCTTATAATTTTTTAATCCTATTTTTATCCTATCTAGATACAGAATGTTGTATAATTGTTCTTTATAATCGGACATAAAGTTTAGGCTATTTGCAGAAATATTAGTTATAAAATAGGCTATAAAACTTCAAACGAGTTAGAGAGAGAGGGAGAGGGAGGGAAGAATGTGTAGGGTTAGGGAGAGGATTGGTATACAATGTGAAGTATGAAGCGAGAGAAACAAGAGTGAAATTGGTCTCAAAAGGGATGCATACACATAACGCGATGGTATCGTGATTTTTAGATTCGACAGAGCGATTTTGAAACTAGGTCATGGTAAAAAATTTTCTTTCGTAAATACCACCGATTTTCAATCTTCCATTACTTAGATATTATCTTAAGCATATTTTTGCATCGACGACCGAATCTCTATCTAGCGACAAAACTTTTATTTTACACTTCGAATTATATAACGTCACATATGACGAAGTAATGCAAATGCTTGCTATTTACATACATATACTATTTCGTCGCTTTAAATGTTTTATTCATCATGCTTAACAAGGGAATATATTAGTTACTTAATAATTCTGAAAATACACACAATTATTTTAGTGAACTTTTATAAAAATATATAATTAACTGTATGAAAAAATAAATTCTTAAATAAATAACTATTGATATTCTTTATTGGTACATTGCAAATAAAACTATGTGAATTAGTTGCAAAAAGAATGTTAAAATTGTATAGTTTTCAATATGTTATTTGTAGATCAAATTTATTTTGTTTATTGGTTATCTTATTTATTTTTAACTGGACATAGTTTATTATTCTGCAATGCGAACACTTGTTTCTTCCATCATTGGAAGAGATAGAAAAGTACAATTTGCAAATGAGTAGACGGAAACTTTAAACATATTTGTTAATTAAAGGGTTAGTATTTCTGATGCTCGCGATTCTAATAAATGTTCCATCGAATTAACATCTTTACACCATCCATCGAGTCGTTGGACCATCCCAGCAATTTGACTACGATCTAATACTCGAGGTTGAACCCAAGTCATATGAACAGTTCCTGCAACTTGATCAATAGCACCACGTACTAAACCTTGAGCTAGAGCCTTCATTACTAATAATTCAACTTCTCCTAAAGGTAAACGAGTTTCCTGTGATATTTCTGTAAATGTTAACTGTCGGTTGTTTGCTTGACGCTTAAAAGTCATTTCCATGAGACATAAAAGGGATATCTTTTGTCTTAATTTTAATTCTTGTGCTGCTAAATCAGCAACTTTACTCCATTGTGGTTTTAATTTTTCTAATGCAACAATGTCACCAGCATTGAAAGCTTGTAGTAAATCTATCAACCAGGAGTTAGGTGTATCTTTCAATGATTCTAAAACTGGATGGGCAAGTAATTCCCCAAGATTGTAAACTCCTTCTCCTAATAATGCAGCAAGTCCAAGGAAAAATGCATGCTGTTCTTGTTCCTGTCTATCCAAGCTATGTAAATCAATACATCCTAGGTATCTGTGAAATAAAAACTAAGTTGTATTAAAACATGCAATGAAATTATAAACACTATTTTTTCAAGAAACAAACCTTAATGCAGTACGATAATATTCTGCGTGTTTTCCTTGCAATCTATACAATCTACTAGCCAGAAGATAAAATCTGCCATGAACAGTGGTAACTCCATCAGCATTATCAAGCATGATTTCAACATCTTCTATAATTTTTTTTGCTAGCTCTTGATTATTTAATTTGTCAAGTAAAATTTGTCCTGTAAGAACTTTGCATAGAGCTACTGCCTCATTATTGCTTTTAACTTTGGATTCTGTTTTCTCTAAGAATTTGATCGCTTCTTGTTTATCTTGAAATTGTTGTATTACATGCGCCATTATTTCAACCAATGACAATGGATTTATCCTAAAAGAAAAAAATAGACAAAATAATGAATGAACGCGACAACAATATAGAACATAAAATTAAGGTTATATATTTGTTTGAAGATTGTTTTTTTTTATTTACTTACTTGTTTTCAAATGTTGACAGAAAATTAATATATAATTGTATAAGATTATCATTTTTTTGCAGTAACGGATGTTTTACAAAGGTTTCCAATTTAAGAGTTAGTTGATGCCAAAGTCTGCAAGTCACCGGTCGGAATAAAACATACATTTATTTTTCTTCTTTGAAATTTACATTAATAAAGATATTTATCATGTAATTACCTTTTATTGTAAAGAGTATCGAGTTCCGCCCATTCTTCCGCCAATTCTTTATCTGAAACATTTTGTTTTGATCTTAAAAATGTACTAACATCTTTCTGTGCTACGGTAGCCGCCATGTTTAATAAAACTTATATATCCGATCGAGAGATGATTGTCGAATCATCCTCATGAACCAATGAAAGTTCGATAGATCGATATGCGTTTCTTTATGAAATCATTTCTATCGAGATTTCATTCGAGATTTTTATTTCGCTTATTACGTTGTAAAAGTAGAGTTTAGAAAGAATTAAAACACTCATCAGATTACTATCTTTTCGTGAATATTTAAATGCAAATACGAATTTTTAATAAATCTATTATTTAAAAGAAGATCATAGAATTGACCGATTATAATAATAATCTAATATCAATTCTTTCTTATCTTATGAAATTATAGATAATTTAAATATGGCGAGATTTTTTGCATTAACGAATTATCTTGTTCTCCAAAGGTCGATTGATTAATTACTGAAATTTTGATCTTTAATTTAAACATATTGAAGTAATAATTCTGTATTTTATTATTATTTATTCATTTTTTCTATTCTTTTTCTTTTTACCAAATCCTCAATATGTAACGCCGATAAAATCATCTTGTGTCAAACAAAAATATTAAAAAGCTTATGTTAATATAATTGCATTATCAATGTGTAATTAATCCATTGTTAGAAACTATCTGAAGAGCAATTATTATTGTCAACTATTCAACATTAAAACAATTTTCATATGGATAAAATAACCAATGCATAACAACATCAAAAAACGGAGGATGTGTGTGAGTGTAATATTTGGATGATTCATATATTTCATATATATGTTAAGAGAAATACTTAATGATAATTGATCATATTCTATTAGAAGAATTGAACGTAAATGTTAACGTTATATATCAATTTTAATTTACCATATATTGCAGCAAATTATATTTATTTTTAAACAATATGAAGTAAATTATGTAGATGTTGTAAATTAATTAGTCTTTAATTATTAAAATTTTTATGTTAATAGGTACAAAAACGGACATGTGGAAACTCCTGATATCGTCAATAGTGTTGATTGTTATTAGTATTTTAAGAATTAAGGCTGTTTTATTAGCTCCATCCTTTACTCCAATTGTTATATCTGCAAACTATACACAAAATTATAATGCTACTATAAACAGCACCATCGAATATGTATTCTTATATCCCACGAAGAATGTAAAGTATATTACTACTCTATTATTATTAAAAAAAAAACAATATATCATATAATTGATATGATTTCCTTTTTAGAACACATTATTAAAAACTGCACGAATACAAGTGCAAAGTGAAGCTACCTCTGATTTGCCTTTGATTGTAGTTGTTCGGCAAGATAGAGGAATTCTATCTTGGCAGATTCCTCTTATTATTGAAAGTGTAAATTTTGATCCATTAAAATATAATAAAACCAGTCGAACATTATGTTCAACAAAATATTATAAAAGTGATTATCATGACACAGATGATCAAGATTTTATTTCTGTTAGTATATCTACAGCTAGTCACGTAAATATCTTTTTTAATCTTAGTGTAACAGAAGAAACAGATTTTAATATAAGGTAATTTGAACTGTATCATTATTTATTAGTTTTATTATTTAGATTATTTAAAATATCTTATAGTTTAAATTAATATCATTTGTTTCACAGGCTAAATGAAAAAAGAAGTGTAGAAATTTCTCCTTCAGAACCTATATATTATAGTTACATCTTTCCAGAAGAATTTCAAAGTTCATCTGTAATTGTTAGCGTTGAATCAGATAATGATATTTGCATGACATTCTCTATACAAAATGTATCCGTAAGTTACGCAATTTTTTAATGAAATTCTTGTTATATATCCTAATATAATTATTCATATCTATATACATTCACACATATTTATATATTATTTTTTAGTGTCCAGTATTTGATTTAGAGCGGAATATTGAATTTTCTGGATATTGGCAAACTATAAGTCAGAAAGGTGGTATCACAGTATCTGTAAGTATTTCTTTTTCTTTTTTAAGAACACAATGAAAATTTTTAAATAATGAGATATTCATATATTTCAGAAAGAAGCATACCCTTTTGGATTTTTTGTTGTACTTGTAGTTAAAGGAGATGATACAGATTGTAATGGTGTACTCAGCACCAGGTCACTTAGAAGTAAAAATATTACATTAACTATAAATGCCAGTATTACGAAAAAAGATTATGTTGTGGCTTCATGTACAGCAGCATTTGTAATTATTATATTTTGTGGATGTTGTGTAGTAGCTGTGATTGTAGGTAAAATTAGAGAAGGTAAAAAGCTTCGGGAAGAATTGTTAACTGACAGAGACAATGAAATTAGTCAAAATATTCAAAGTCCTTCGACTTTAGAAGAGGTATAAAGTTAGAATTCTATAAAGCATTTAATTTTATATTATTTTATATTTTGTTATAAACATTTGTTTTTAGATTGGTCCTAGTCAATGGGCAACAATTGAAGAAGATTCTTCATTAGATGAAGATGATATTGATATGATGGAAGATGCTCTTTCAGATAAAGAAGTAATACGAACAAAAACTGTGCTCTCAGTTTGTGATCTAGCACGGAAAGAACCAAAAATTTTAAAACATAAATCGCGCTTGTATTTATATTACCTAGCAACTGTTGCTATTTTTTATACATTACCTGTTTTACAACTGGTAATAACATATGAACGAGTGCTTCATGCTACTGGAAATCAGGATATGTGTTATTATAATTTCTTATGTGCACATCCATTGGGATTAATATCTGATTTTAATCACGTTTTTTCAAACTGTGGATATGTTCTGCTTGGTTTATTATTTATATTTTTAACGTATACACGAGAATTAGATGAATCAGATAAACAAAAAACAAAATGTTATGGAATACCACAGCATTATGGACTTTTCTATGCAATGGGTACTGCACTCATAATGGAAGGTGTTCTTTCAGGAAGTTATCATGTCTGTCCAAGTCGTAGTAATTTTCAGTTTGGTAATATAATATTGACATATTATAATTTTAACTTTTTTTTATAATTTTGTTAAGAAAATATCATTGTATGTTTTTATGTGGATTTCAGATACTAGTTTTATGTACATAATAGCAGTGTTATGCATGATAAAAATTTATCAAACTCGTCATCCTGACATAAACGCTAGAGCTCCAGTAACCTTCGGAACATTGGCCCTTATTATACTTCTAGGATTAGTTGGAGTCTTAGATGGTTCTATATACTTTTGGGCAATATTTACCACTACGCATTTATTTGCCTGTTTGAATTTAACAGCCCAAATATATTACATGGGACGTTGGAGATGTAACAGAGGCCTTTTTACTAGGGTTTATCAAGTATGCTTTTTTTTTTTTTTTTTTTTTTATGTAAGTTCCATGTTGACATTTTAAATATTTCATTATATATTTTTTTTTGTAGACATTAAAAAACGACGCACGTTATGGAGTAACATATTTATTCCGGCCACTTTATGTTGGAAGATTTGCAATGCTTGTTGTAGCAAATTTATGTAATATAGGTTTATCAGTATATGGTAATCTATATCATGAGAAAAATTTCGCTACATTTCTATTAGCAATTTTAATGTCCAATTTAATTTTATATACATTATTTTATATAATAATGAAGGTAATTATTAAAAATAATTTTTTAGATCATTAATCCATATTTGTTGAGATTACTTAATTTTTTTTAATATAATAATTATTTCTTTACAGTTGTGTCATAAAGAAAGAATCTTACTTAAACCATTAATGTACATCATATTAGCAGTCTTATTCTGGGCAGCTGCATTATATTTCTTCATACATAAAACGATATCCTGGAATCTTACTCCCGCCCAATCACGTCTTTTTAATAAGCCTTGCATATTATTAAACTTTTTCGATTCTCACGATATTTGGCACTTCTTATCGGCATTTGCAATGTTCTTCTCGTTTATGATTTTACTTACCTTAGATGATGACCTTGTTGATGTACATCGAAGTCAAATCCCAGTTTTTTAAAGTTATATAAATAAATTGAGATCATGTATCTAATGTAAAATTTATGCAAGTTTAAGACTGCATATAATGTATATAATATAAAAGACAAATAATTAAAGATGATATAAAATTTACATGGCTATTATCTTAAAATACTACTATTTTTGTTATAGAAATTTTTTAATCTTTTCCCTACAAATCCTTAACACTAGATTTACCAACCAGTCAAAATGACTGATTTCAACTGGTTTTATAAAAATTTCTATTTTAATTTTCATCACATGTTGTCTCAAGGCATTATGATTTTTTCTATTACATATATACATATGATCAATTTTATAAATTCCTTTTTTCCTCTTTTTTTTTGAGATACATATGAGGCATACCTTAATATACCGGAATAATTGTCAATAGTTCTAATGTTAAAAACAATTATGATTGAACCAATCATATGCCATCAAAAAATTATACTATACCTGTATAATTACTATCAACAAGTGAGAATATCACGTGAATGTCTGTACAAAGAATTACTCCTAATAAAATTACATACACCAGGTACGCAGAGGCACAAGATTTTCACAAATTAGGATGAAGAACTTGAATCAATGTGATGTTCCTGATCTGGTGTTTCCATTTGCGATAAAGTCCTTTGTAATTCAGCACGTTCGGCAGGATTTAATCTATGCGCAATTTCCAAGACAGCATCTAATCTTACTTCTGGACAGGTTTCGAGAGCTTCTTTGATACGTGTAATGACTGCGTCCTTCTTTACACACATAATATTACGTGATATAACGCTATTTTCATTAACAAGCTGTGCCTCCAACCAAGTAGTAGCCGCTTGATCTTGATCCCAAAGATAGGATTCTATAGCTCCTTTATCTTCGATAAACCATCGTCGTAGCATCGCACCAATTTGTCTAACGTCGAACTTAGGTTGCATTGACAAAATATCCTTCTTGATATCCTCTTCCAAAAGTCTTCGTCTTAATTTCCAATAAAGCAACGGTCTTGCTTTTTGCCATGGTATTATATCTTGTATTACGTTTTTTTCTAACATTCGTTCTGGAGTGTCGTGAAGATCCGCAAAATAGACAGCAACTTGTTGATATATAGGTATCAATGTTTTTTCTCTCTTACGAATTACTGTTTCGATTTCTGTTCTTTCTTCAATTGAATTTGATGTATTAAGGTTTTCCTAGAAAATTTATTAATTAACAGATAAGACGATTATTAATGAAAATTTTAATTGAAGAAATAAGATAATATAAAACCATACTTTTAACTTTTGAATAACAGGATCTATTCTATGCATCGTCTTGATGAGATCCTTGTTTCTAAATTTTATTTCTACGATACCAGTAGGCTCTAGGACACCACCTCTACTGGTAGTATCAGCAAACATTTCTAAGTATCGTGGATTAATTGTAGTGTCCACTACTGCCCATGCACCACCTCTGAGTTCACCATTTGGTGGAATGTATACAAATATAGGTTTCGTGTACTCTCTCAACGCGTCGACGATATAAGCACCAAATTTCACAATTTGATCGTACATATCTGTAAAATTTACGCATAATCATTAGATTCTAGCATGACAAAGAAACAAAGATTTATTTTATATATACCTTTCATGCCACTGGAAAATCCTCTCCAGTTAGCAAATATAACAAGCGGTAGTTCTTCCCTATTAAAATCTCGAATAGCTTGTGCAGTTTTATAGGCACTATCTGGGAACCATACTTGGCCAGCCTGAGATATTGTCTTAGCTTCCGAATCGAGATTAGCAGGATCAGCAGGAAGATGTAATTCGACGGTTCTTGTTTCGACGGCTATAACGCCACAAGGTATACCACCTAGTCTTGCTCGACCTGTTATTACAGTTTGTGCCCAAGGTTTCATGATTTCCTACATAATTTAACAAATCGTTAATACCATGAATAAAATCTAAAACAATTGGTGAGAAAGATTTATAAAGAATGAACCGTACCTCCCATGATCCACGATCGAAGAAACCACTTTCCCAGACATTCTGATCGTTAGGTGAGTATCTACCTTCTAACATCCACCTTGGATCATAAGGTGCTTTTGTAGGTACATAAGTAATGTCTCGGTTGATAGAATCGGGGAGAGGTGAAGGTAATATCGGCAAACTTGTTCCTTTTGCCCTGGGGAAATAACTTAACCACTTCAAAACTGTGGCCACGCCTTCCAAATCTCTACTATCAACCGCATGAGTAACACCATTATTATGCATAATTTGAATACCTCCTAGTTGATTGTTACTAGCGTATACTTCACGTCCTAGGACGGCGTTCAATGCTCGGTAACCAGTAAGAATGATGTGAGAATTTTCAATTTGAATTGTTCTCTGACCAAGACGCACCAAATAAGAACCGATACCAATAGCGCGGCACGAAACAATAGAGATAGTGACAATTTCATCGTAAGCTCTGGACGTTTCGCTAGCAATCATACCAGCGTATTTTAAATTTTCTACGCCTATACCATCGTCTTTGCCAATAATGTCCGTAATTTTATAACGAGATTCACCAGCTGGATCTTCGATTAAGGAAGCCTTGACTGAATTAAAAGGTGCTAGACGAGCATAATCATCTGGTGTCAAATATATATACTTGAATCCCTTTTCGGGTTCACTTTCATCTTCCCAAGCTATTTTGAATAATCCTTTGATTTCTTCAGCTAGGCCAATACGTGCACCTGCATTCGCGGCAAAATAAATACGCGGAATACCAAGTTGTCTTGCTCTTTCTGAGGCTCTGTAAAATAGAAAGTCCTCCTTTGGGCCAAACGAGCCGAGGAAATGCGTGAGATCATTGGCAATAAGTATAATATCTCGACCAGCAGGAAACTCTGGTGTATAAAGAGTTAATCTCCAAGCTACCATCCCTACATCGTTCTCACCAGGCAAACGCTTTTGTTCAACAAGATTGTCACCATCCAGTACTAGTTCAACGCAATCCATCACTGACGTAGGAATCGTGATGTTTGAATTTGATCTCTCCTCGATATATTTATGCCAAGACTTTTCTACTTGTTGTCGAAATATGTCAGGCAAGTCGTACGCATAAGTTGTACCAGCACTTTGCGCTTGGAATCTCTTGGCTTGAAGGTAATCCTTGGTGAGATACGGTGTTGAAATTGGCAAACCGTGCATAGGGCCAGGTCTCCAATTGGATAAATTAGCAGTAGGCGGTGGATAAGATTCAAAACGAATGATACCTGTCTTAGGATCTGTCGATTCAGCGTAAAGATGTAAATCTATACTGTAACCGCTGTCATTGGCAATACACAAGCGTATGTTTGACGTCGATTTGCCTGGAGCTGGGCGGATTGTCATTTTGATTTCGGCCTGACGTACACGTAACTTCCATAATCTCGGACCATATCTAAGTACCATACTGGTAACACTTTCCTCTATTCTGGCAGGATCCATTATGACTGTAGGAATGAAATTTAAGAATATATGATTACATTCCGTACGTTTAGCCAGAGGATGCGAAAAGGCTACTTCTAACTCATCCATAGCTTCGAGCAGCACGCGTTCTCCTTCGTTGTGAAGATAGTCGAAGCTTGCTTCCTTCGTAATAAGATCGGAATGACGAATAATAGAGCGTATAAAGAAACGATAGTCTGTAACTTGTTGCCCTTTGGCTACCTTTGCTTGTCCAAGATACAAGTGCATCTTTTGATTCGACGTAGGCAAAGCCTCCAGATCGTATGTTCTCATTCTATTAAGTTCCAATTGAAAAGCACACCCTGGCTCAAGATGTCGATAAATTCTATCCTCGACAAATCCATCTCTTTGTCTGAACGTAAAGAATTTCGGAAATTGTTTCCTCTTTAGGGCTGCGAAAGTAGCTCTTCTGATACCACGAGATATTAATTCTTCTTTGCTCGTTGCACACCAGTCGCCAAATAATCTTGCCATAGTAGCGTCGTCTTGATTACTATTCTCTTGAATGGCAATACTTAAAATGTGTACAGGTTCAGCTGGCCTCTCACTTAATTCTGCGGCAGTAGCAGCTTCTGTCGCAGTGCTAAGCGATACATTTATGGATGTACTATGACGAGATTCGCTACCAATCGCATCTACAGCCTCTAGGACTTTAACAGATACTGAACTCGGCGACGATAGGTCTTCCAATAAGTCCAAGATCTCATCCGAGTATTCACGGAACTGATCAAAGTCTTTGAATGCTGCCATCGCTCCTGTTCTATAATTAACAATTGACTGAGTTTGTCGATTAGGATGATTGTTAGGGAGTAAAAATTGGAAATGTACGAGAGGTATTTCTCCTGATAATTCCAAATGTTGTAAACACGTTAACTCGTAACTGATATAAGCTCTACGAACGTAAACTTCCAAAGCGGCATTGCAAACAGCACGATTCGAATGATAGAAGAAATCATGAAGGATATCGAATATAGATGTCTCGGAGAGTATCAGCTTTTGAAGATTTTCTGGATGAAAATCGTGCCCGTACATATCAACGGCTGATAAGAAAATGGATTCCATTTGGTTGTGTCTGAGTTCGTAGGCAGGTTGATGAGCAGCTATCAATACCTGTCTGGCTCTTAACGCAACACGACTGTGTTCTGTTCTGTTCAAACTGGTCAATTCCGTTAAAGTACTAGCCAATTCGTCAGTGAGACCAGGTTCGTTCGCCCAGAGATGATCTATCAGCATAGTCACTAAGATATTCTTTTTAGTTACTTGGTTATGACTAAAAATCATTGCAGTTACAGTACTTAAATCGTCCTTGTATTGTTCTATTAAAGCGGACACACATTTGTCGTAATGTCCTTGTTGAAATTGACACTCAACCATATAATATTGACGAAGAAGTTCATGTACGGCAGTTTTCATTCGACCACGTATACCATTTCGATATCTCTGCACAAGCTGTACGATTGCTTGAGTAGTTAAGAAAAATACATCTCTGTCGGAACGTTTCGAAAGGGTAGCAGCATGTCCGTCAATGACAGCTGCAATTTGTTGACTAGGAAATTGTGCAAGAACAGAAGTTATGTTTCTTTCGTACAAAGACATTAATTTTCTTATCTTCTTCTCAACCGAAGCTGGGATTCTTCCTGATATCGTAGCTATCACTTCTTGAAGTTCAAGCAATGGTAAACTAGGATCGCGTAAAGAGAACATGAATTTTTCGATGAGTTCACGTAAACGTGGCAAATGATAAGGATCTGGTAAACAATAACCAGCTAGTGTATTTTCTAAAGCAGTCCGATATTTGGAATGAAGATGATTTAATTTGTCTGGTATAGCTGGTACCGCTGGCGTTGGAAATTGGCCACTATATTCCTCAGCATTCGTCACTAAAGATGGATCATCGAGTTCTAAATGAGCTATTACAGTACCAGCTTCGAGAATAGCACCTGGTCTTTTCACATAAAACAATGTACCAGCTTCACTTGTCGTTACTGTCATTATCATTTTCATGACTTCGATTTCAGCGTAAGCTTGTCCCTTATCGATGTGACCACCATCCTCCACCAAAAAATTTATCAATTTACCCGCTGATGGTGATCTAAGTAAAGACGGATCGTTATCCTTTTCAAATACACAGGTTTGATTACCTATAGTAATTCTGTAACGATCTACTTCTTCTTTCATGTACGTCGTGTAACTGGCACCATCCATTGAGAGTAACAAACCACCGTCAGAAAGTCGATGAACTTCAATTTTTTTATAGGAACTATTTAAAACGAGGAAATAACTATTAGGACCTGACTTAGCTGCTTGGACTTTGTACTTGTAACCATCATTCACTAGTTCTACCTAAAATGTTTTAATCAAAATGATCGATAAATTTGTATTATATTTAAAAAATATATTTTCTAACTAAATAATAACTAAATAATCAAGTTGACTCACATCTACGAGGTTATTTAAATCATTACTGCCTTGTACTTGACCTTTCTCCAAGGCCGTCTGAAATTCAGTGAATGCGGCAGTAATAGTTCTATCAGCAATATGAATGGCACCACACGTGACGGCTAATAGAACATTTGGCTTATCGCTTTTAATACGCTCTGCTATAAGCACATCAAGCCATGACGTGTCGATATTGTTTTGTTGAAAAGCTTCGGTTTCCAATAAAGTTATAAGATATTCTACCGTTGTCCTGAAGTCACCTCTGATGCTTAATTCTTTTAGTGCTATCACCAAATTCTCTCGAGCTTGATAACGATCTTCCCCCCAGGAAAAACAATGACCGAATTGAGAATCAGCGAATTCATGAAGACCACCCGATGCTCCAACAGAAAAATAACCCCAAACATTCTTCGACGATCTAAAGTTCAATTCTTGTACAGTACCAGAACTTGGTTTGAAACCTAAAGTACATTAACGTAATCCATTAAACATCGATATAAATTATTTAATCAATTCGCAATTATTCTGATAGAATAATCACCTTCATCAGGATTTTCACTGGTAATTCTAGCAGCTATCACGTGTCCCCAAGGTTGAGGTTTATGACGTAGCTGTTCAAAATCTATTTGACTATCTCCCCAAGGACTCTCACCATAAAGGAGACGTATATCTTTAATATGATGAAGAGGCAATCCCATCGCCACTTGAAGCTGTGCAGCAGGGAGATTAACGTCCGATATCATCTCGGTACATGGATGTTCCACTTGAAGTCTAGGATTCAATTCCAAAAAATAATACCGGCCAGAAGTATCATATAAATATTCAACGGTACCCGCGCTGACATATCCGACCATTTTTGCTAATCTTACAGCAGCCTGTTAAACCGACACGGAAAGTAAACCGATACATAATGTACAAGAAAAGAGAATTTTGTAACTAATGAAACTATTGTGTTTATACTTTCTCCATCTCTTCGAAGACTTCAGGTTTGGCTATTACCGCTGGTGCCTCTTCTATTATTTTCTGATGTCTTCTTTGGATAGAGCAATCACGGCCGAACAACGATATTGCATTACCGTAATTATCGGCTAATAATTGAACCTCTAAATGACGAGCACATTTCGCCATTTTCATGATAAATATCGGTGAACCTGGTATCTCGGCTTGCACTTGTCTACAAAAATTACAAACATATAGCTAATATATATATATATATATTTCTTTACAAAAAATTATTATTAATTATACATCATCCAATTCACCTAAACAAGGCGGGTAACTCTTCCGCGTTTTCGCATTTTCTAATACCCTTACCGCCGCCACCTTCGCTAGCTTTCACCATAATCGGAAAACCAATTTTATTAGCTGCAGCAAGACATTCCTCGACGGTGGAAACACAACCTTTCTTGAACAATTCGGTCGATATCTTTATCTTCTTGCCACTATATTGAGCTTTCAATTCAGATCCCGACCAAGGTAACGTAGGAACGTCTGCTGTTTGAGCGACAATACTGGAAGCTATTTTATCACCTAAAGCCCACATAGCTCTCTCGGATGGACCTGAATGTTATTACATAATAGGAAAAAATAAATAGATATTTTTCGTATATAATAAACATTTAAATGATTTTAAATTAAGTTCATAATTTTCCAATAGAAAGAGATCTCGAACATTTTACCTATAAAAGAGATATTATTCTTATGCAGTAACTCTGGTAATTTAGGATTTTCTGATGCATGACCCCATCCAGCCCAAACAGCTTGCACCTGCGTCCTTGTTGCAATATCCACGATGAGCTCGACGTTCGCATAATTGTTATTGTTTGTTCCACCAGGTACGGGGACATATTGATCGGCCATTTTTATATATTCCGCGTTAGCTTTGAGGTCTTCCGGGGTGACCATGACCACGAAACGTACCGCTCTTTCATTCTTAAACATCTCGTAAGACCATCGTCGTATCGACCGCATACATTTGACTGCAGCGATTCCATTGTTAGCTATTAAAACCTATAAATAATGAGAAATTAAATAAAATTAAAGGAAAATTATATTCATTAGTTGCATAAACCGTTTCGTATTAACTGTTTTATTATTTTTTGAATGTTATTTGATTACCTTGTTGATAACCTTGGTGCCGCCAAAGCGATGTACGAATTCTTCGGGTGTCGCAACGGTGAAATCTTTCTCTTGCAATCGGCTTTGTGTCTGAATCATCACCGTACCCTGCGACATGCTGGGCCTGCAAAAATAAAAACGAACCATGTTTTTAATTAAAACTAATCGACCAAGAACGATTTGTATTTTGATTATTTTATCATAAAAATTATTGATGTTTCACTGTTTCATTATTATAATCTACAATTAATTACATAAATATTTTAACATAATAAATACAATTTTTATATCTTCACGTAATAGTTTTCATCTTTATTGCGTTAATTCCCGTAGTTTCCTGCTATTCGCAACGAGTATGATATTATAAAATATGTATTTATGATACGTAAAATATGTATTTAAGAGAGGATCACAACAGACGCATTATTTCTATAAATTCCTGATAAAGATTCTTGTCTTTTCATCTGACTATGCTAAAAATGTATGAATGAGAGTAGAGAAAGTATATAAACCGTTAATTTAAACGGTTCACGTAACGTCGTGCTCCTAAATTGGTACACTTTCTGAGTAGCAGTATCATCAATTCAATTGATACAGTTCGTTCCATATTTTTGTCTTATATTTGCTTTCTTTTTACATCGCACATGATGGATACCTTCGAACAACACATACTGCCAATGTTATATATAAAATGTTTTTTTTATCGAAAAAAGTATATATACATATACATATATACATGCATATATAATGTATATTTGCACGAACGATTACGAGCAAGCACGTGCGTATACATTATGTCATTTCGTCGATATCGATTTTACGAAAATATCTATTAAAATTAAATTATCGAAACAGTATTACGTTAATCCAGATGTTCTTGATTGTAAATAATTCTTCATTTCTTCCTCCTTCTCTTGCGCATTATCTTCATCCGACGTTATTTTGACAATAGTAGTTCCTTGAAGATTGTCGGAACTCCTCCACATCGGTTCTTTTTCAGTTCTTTCAGCTAAAACAAATCTCTTCATGCGTCTCATCACGTGGATTCCATATAAAAAAGAAATGGAAAGGAAAACGACGAAATCCAATGAAATATCCAAGGAAATCCAGAATTCAACAATCAAAAGTTATCGATTACTATCCTCAAGAATCAAAAGAATACTCCAATCAGTCTGTTTGCATAGTCATTTTTCTTAGTGTTTATAGATCCAAGTCCAATCCTTCATCCATGCTCATGATATACATCATTATTCATTTTCTTATGTCATTCATTGTTTACTTCGTAAAATATTCTTTCATCTTATTTGTATTCTTCTTGAAGGATTCTAAGAACATCATAAGGTCACTTGCAATTTTATACTCGTTTTATAAACGTTTAGAAATATATTTCTTCTATAGTTATTAGTTTGAAAATTCTTATATTTCCCGCATATATACTTTTACAGACTATAACCTCGAATTAAAGTCAATCAGATGACAAAAAACGAGAAAAGATTCTAGTCATGCCGGGAGATCGAATATTCTCGTTCCAAACCAGAGAAAGACCTTGAAGAACATTTTTTTTCCTCTTATTAATCGTTCAACCAAAATTTTATTTCCCGCTGTTTTTTGTAAAAATATAGAACGCTTTGAAAGATAGCAAAGGGTATAATTTATTAACTGGTTCAATCGGAGATTGAATTTTTCACGGTAAAACGAAAAAAATAAATATTACAGAAACGATTATGATACAAACGTCCTTTTACAAAGAAAGACGGATTGTCACTGACAGCTTATAGGCAAGGTGAACGGTTACTTTTCTTCTGCAAGAAATCCCCTACTACCTGTGCACTTGCTATCAAGAAGTGCTGAACGCATTCTTTCTTCATCAAATATCCGACATTTAATTTAATTTTTTGTGATATGCATATGAAAAATGATATAGAATTTTATTGAAATTTCATTTCAATCTTAGGTAAAGTCCACAATAATAAAACTCCAATTAAATTAATTATCATAAACGATGAAATCATGTCATTAATAATGTTCATATCGGTAATAGGATATCGAATTCGGTTAGAATCCTAAACACTACAGATTGATATCTTATTAAGTAATCAAATTAATAACGAAAGGTCAAGAAAAAACATAACATATATCAAGTGATAAATGTACATCAAGAAGTAAAAAAAATTCATGTTTAAAATGTATTGCCATTCTATACTAACGCACACATTTCAAACACTTTGCAAGTAATTTCTGCGGCTAGCATAGATCAGAAAGGAGACCTGTTTACACGCATTCGATGGTATAATCAGCTGATTCATTGAAAATAAACTTCATTTGTCTGTTGATCTTTCAAATACAATACATCTAATTATTTATAAATGTGCGTAATTTACCTATCAAGATACGGAATTAATTAGTCAAAGATATATTCAGACACTTTTTGAAATAGAACAACTTTTTTTAAATCAAGCAAAGTATTCTAAATTTATATATATATATATATATATATATATATATATATATATATAATATATTATATATATATATATATAATATATATATATATATATATAATATATAATATATATATATATATATATATATTAATATTTGTATGTACTTTATCAAATATATGAAGACTTAAAAAAAAAGGAAAAAGAAATTTTGTTTGAAACACAAGATAAAAAATATCGAATTATTACAATTTTTTATCAACAGCTTTTATAAGAAACCTATGTATTTTATATCTAAACAAGATCTTATTTCCTTATACTTACACAAACATTTAGAACAAGTTACTATAATTTACTCTTATGTAAAATGAAAAAAAGAAAATTATCTACTTGTTATATTTTTATGATTTTTAATTGACGTAGTTCGCTCATTACTTATACCTACACTTTCAAGTGAGATTAGATATCTTAATATGCATTATAAAGACGCTTATAGACGCGTTAGATTAATTATTATATTAATAAAAATAAATTATAAACGAAAAAAAGAAAAAATAGATTAATCTTCGCATTGATTGGAAATATGTTTCGCTTGTCATTTAATCTCATATTTTGTTTTTCAAGGTAAAATTGGACAATGACCAAATTAAAGATTCGATCATCTTTCTATAGTATCGTCAAAGTGTTTTATAATAGCTTACCAGAAACAAGGTTAACTACTTTCATAAGCATACTCAGTACGAATTTGATGAAGTTCAGAAGCTTCTATCGGCTATATAAAAGAAAATTTAACGAGTTTAAGTGTTTTTTAATTCGTTTAATGCGTTATTACGAAAGTTTTCGTTAGATTTATATTTTCCTTGAAATTTCTCTTCGAACTTGATATAAAATAAATGACATTTGTCAGTCTGATAATATTTTTAACTTATTATTTTTAAGTTACGTTGGTTTAAAATACGGTAATATATTATTGTTTATTTACTTATATTTTCTATCAAAATATTTCGTATTACCAACTTAGCCATTTCCTTTTATTATAGGCATTTATTTTCAAAGGAAATTCGACTATTAATATTTATTATATTTTTTATACGTTCTAAGAGAAATGATATTCATTAATTTAATACAATTCTTATCATCAATCTTCTATCATTTACATGCGTGCTACATGGATTAATAAATCGTAGGCAATATGTAAAACGATTTCAAATTCTGTAAAAACCCACTGACATGATTTATCGATTCATAGACAGAGTTGCTATATAAGCAACACTTAACACTTGGGAACTTCTTTACGATTGATGAGCAAGTAACAATTTTAGAGGACAAAGTTCCACAATTCGAAAATAGATTAACATGATATTTTGTTTATTTTCAAGTACAATTAATGTCAATTATGGTTTAAAAATTATATCAGTTGCATTTAAATGTATAAATTTATAATTTCTATATTTAAGTCCATTTAAACATGATTTTTTTGGTTCAAGATCATTTCTAGATCAACAACGTGTCCTCCTTCGAAATTTTTTTTTATGTGATAAGTTATTACGCGACGTTAAAAAAAAAATATACTAAAAAAGTTTCGTTTAAAAAAAACTGGTTGGCCCTGATAAATAAAAATAACCTTTAACAAAATAAAACAAAAATTTTATATCATCGTATTTCATTTTTCAAATGGTGCAGCCATATATTGTAAAATTTAGTCACACCATTTAATTCATAAGAAATATTTGAATGTTTGGTTTGAGTACCATGTATATTACTTATTATATATTGTAAAATTATAAATGTGTGCTTACAGTAGTACTAAGGTTAGGTATTCGATTTACTTTTTAATATACAAAAAAATTCCACGATATACGTAATAAATGATAAATAGTAGCTATACATAACCTGATTGCGAAATCCTCATTACATTGACCGCATGAATAAGTAATTGGGGTCAAAGTGCATTACGAGATTATTCTGTCGATTCATTGGCGATTCAATATAACGATCATGAATTTAAATAATTTTTTTTTATAATCTCATATAAATTTCTATATGAAAATAAAAATAAATTATAAAAACGGAAATAAAAAGAAATAAATATTAACGAACGTTCAATTCGCGTTTGTTTAAATATTTGATTTATTAATTATTTCATAGACGTACGAAACTGCGTCATCTTAAACACGAATTTTTCATTTATGAAATGATAATTGGAAGCCAATCATTTTGTAATATGAATATTGTTATCCAGTTTCTTAAATAAAATATTTTCATGAATACTCTCACTGTGATATTCGTTAGAAAGGTTAATAAAGGTTTCAATGTGATAAATGCGTATAACATTTTCCATAAAACAAGTATACGAAAGAAATAAAGACTACTTAAATATTTAAGTAGTTATTTCTTCCGGATTTGAAATTGCGCACTAATTATCATCATTATTAAGTATCATCTTTATCGTTATCATCATCATCATTATTATTAATACTATCATTATTATCTATTATTATTTATAATTATTATTACGAAAAGAATTCCCGTCAATCTTTGTTTTCATCTCAATTATCGATGAGAGATAAAAACAATCGAATAAATGTTCTCAAAGAACTGAATCGTTAGATTGGTTTCATTGATCATCGGGATACCTCTTTCGGAAAATAACATTGGAAAACGAGATCAAGTAGAAAAATCTTATGATGATCACCTGAGTCGTTTACGTCGTTCAACCAAGCCTGGAAGGATGGAGAATTGTTGAACTTGATGGCTGTTTCCATTATTCCCATCGATGGGAAAACTATCGCCAATTTCCAACTCCTCTTCGGCATCCGGGTCGGGTTCCCCGACAACGAAGCTAACCGGTGTCGTTTCGGACATCTCGGAGTTGTTTTCCCTATTATCACCAGAAGAAGGTTCAATAATGTGAACGATTTCGTCTTCGCTCGTAGAGGAGGAGGAGATCCTTGGCTGTGACTCTTCTGGTCTTCCCTTCTCGTTACCTTCAAAACAAGTCGCGTATATGCGAGCTCGGAATAAAGAACCGTTTGAAAGAAAAGTTTTGCGGGGAAATTTGGGAAGAAAAATGATAATAAAAAACAAAAGGAAAAAAAAATAAAAAAAAATAAAGGAAGACCCAAGTAGGCAAAACCACCAGCATTAAATCTATTCCTCGAAAATATGAATTCGTTTCTATGAGAGCGAACGGCATGCAAAAAAGCGTTCAAAATTCCTAATTTTTAAAGGCGAATCGCCGAGGTAAAAACCTACCATGAATTGACTGTTCTGTCTTTAAACTACGTTCTACGTTCAAACGTAGGCTCTATTTAACTTAGAAGAAGTGTTCAAAAGAAGAAAACCTAATCGCGAAAGAACCAATACGACTTCCTGCCAATAACGTATGACTGAAAATGTCGTTAATGAGGTACCAAGCAAAAGGAAACGTATCCATGACGTATTTAGATATACTCACGCATATCAAAATATTTGCTATACCATAGAACACAATAGAAAACCTATTGTTAACTTTATTGTTAACTTTCGATTAACGTTAATATCAATGACGAGTTGAAAAATATTTTCTAACTTCCATTACCCATGCATAACACATTACGGAAACGTAACGTCTTCGGAATCCTTTGGAAATGATTACAAATGAATAATAAAAAAACAGTTGTTAAATCAACAATGTATATATTAAGGATATATCAGGAAGGAATTGATTAGATTTCTATGGTAGCCCAAATTCAAGGTCAAATTCCCCACGTATGCGGGTATCAATTATTTTTGATATCAACGAATTGACTAAGGCGTACGTTATATAAGTTACGAGATCGTTAAATTCTTGAGAAAGAAGAAAAACAGTGAAAAAGATAATATTTCAAGAAATCAATCGAAATCCAGGGGGAAGCAATAGAAGAGATACCTCGCGTGAAAAAGGCTTTCTACTCACCGTGAAGAGGTCTACGACCGAGATGATTCCTCGCCCTTCTTAAAAGGGAGGACCACCAATCCCACCACTGTCGCCACCACCACAACCACCACCACCAAGGGGGTTCCTCTTCGTAATCGTACTGAATTCCCTGAAACCACCTGCGGACATCAGTTGTAACGGACACCAGACCACGGATTACGAAAAGAAGAGTTAAAAAGTGAATGATTAGGAGCACGTTGAAGAGGATACCCCGCGTTAGGCGGTTAAATGCGAAAAGTTTTCAAATTTCACGTCGAAAAGACGCGAATTTTTTTTAAGATTCTTGCCTTCCCTTGACAATTGTCCAACAATTTATATTTCGTGAATTACGCGTCGAGAGCCGAAGTGGAAGGGGGGAAAAAAGAAAGAAAGAAAGAACATTAAAAATTACGGCTTTATTTTTCTTTTTCTTTCTCTTCTCTTTTTTTCTTTTTTTCCTTTTCTTTTTTTTTTCTTTTTTTTTTTTATATCAAATCGAAATACCGATTAGCGTGTTCAGAAGATTCCGTAGCATATTAAATGCACACCTTGCCGCTTCTCGATTATTCAATTCACTTTTCTTTCAAAATCCTTCTTTATTTGTTTGTTCTTTATCTCTCTTCTTCTAGATCAGAATTCCTTCTTTTGTATCTGTTTCTTTCTCGTACTTCAATACTCCCTTCATTAATCTTATTATGAGTCTTGAATCACACTGGCGATCAACAGTTTACAATATATATTTATCGGCCTTGAAATAGACCGTGTCAATCCAATATCCACGAAAGAAAATACATAAATACTCGAGTGCTTGCTCGTACCAATGAATTTGTATATAGATGCGATTAGAATTTTTCTGATTGTTCAGAGATAAACGACGTATAATCTTAATTATACTTAATTATAATAATCGTCAATTATAATCGACGAATAAATGAAGGGATTATTCGCTCGCATAAATTGTCGCGAGATTTTAATTGAATTTTCTAGATTTTATTAATTAGTATCGGCTAATCAAATATATAAATCAGGGGGAGCAGGGAAAAGATCGAACGACGCAAATGACTGAAACAGACTGCCGATCGTGTTGATGTCACGGGCACGACTCGACTCGACGAACATTCGTAAGACGATAATATCGATAAGCCGTAGGAGAAATATCAAATAAACGAATGACCGGATACAACACTAAGGGGTTCAAAGATCACAAGTATTATGTATGTACGTCCTTGAATTTTACTAGCATCTATCCCCACCATCCCCTTTCATCCTTAACATCGTCCAAGTCAAATCTTATTTCAATAAACTTTTTTTTATTTTATTCTTTGTTTACTACGTTTCTGGAGAAACAAGTCACGAATCCCGCGACATGTCATTAATTACGTTAATTCCATAATTGCTTCTTTACCTTAGACTCTGTTTAACAATCTAAGTAGTAACTGTTAGGAAACTTAATCTTTGTGAAAGCATTCGTGAAAGTTGACATATCAAAGAGAAATATTTAAAATGATAAATATTTAATGAACATATTTATTCAAAAAGAAATTAAATAAAAATAGGAAGAAGAAAAATGTGGACATATTGATGCAATCAAAAATCAAGAAGTATTACCAAAATGTCACCTAGATTGATGAGATATAATTAGGTATATATGTATGTGTGTATGAGTACATATATAATTATATATTCGTTATATATTTCGTTAACGTTGAAATTTATATTTGTCGTTTTACACTTCTAGGTTGGTATAGAAGATGAATCAATAATTATTGAAAAAAGATATAATTTATTTTCGAGGATAGGTTTCAAGATAGAATATTGTGAAATAAATTGAAATGAAAATGAAATGTTTAATATGAATCATTTGCTTATGAAAAATAAATAAATTTATAAATAGATATTTATAATGGCAATATAATTACTGATTCATCTTATATAATAAGCTTCGTAAGTAACTCTCAGTTTGGCTAAATTTTCTTACTTTCTAATACATTATAAATGATTAATAAGATTGAGGCTTAAGTTGTACAATACTTCATATAAAAATAAAAATATTAAATTAAAATTATGACTAAAAAATAGATTACAACTCATATTTACTGAAAAAGTTTCCTAAATTTTATGATAATTTCATATTTCAAAATTATATTTAAATTAAATAATTAAACTATGTATAATAACTTTTTCTTTCTTTTTGTATCATATTAAAAAATAAGAATTTAATCGTTAACTAAACTGTAAAATTCCATAGAGAGTCGAGTTTATCATGATGAGAATTTCTAACATCCGTTACTTTCCTTAGAATTATACTACAGTTTCAGTATAATTCTGCAATTTCGAAATAATTATGCGATATAAGAAACAGGTATTCAAGCATCGTCTCTCACAATCAGTAAAAATCGCGGAAATACTTTTTTCTTCTTATGTCCATTTTTTATAAGCACGTATATTTAGAGCAGATAAAGTTCAACAACGTGAATCGGGGTATGCGAATAATCATTATACGGATTGCAAAGTAAGAACATGCGTTATTAAAGAAACAACGTCAATCTTGAGAATCGTTATAACCAGCACGAACGGTTCAATGACATAAGTACACCTAATATTACGATCCACAGTTGTAACAATACTTCACAAAACGGAAAAGGAGTAAAACAAAATAGGTAACGATAATTGCCAATATATCATTTTATCATTCAATAAATTTTCTCATTTCAACATGAAAAAGAAAACAACATTGTAATTATTAAATTGTCATATTAAAAATAAAATAAGAAAAAGTCACACACTTTTTTCGTTACAATTATATTTACATTTTTCCTCTTTCTCTCTGATCCTCTCTTCCTCTTTTTATTTCTCATCACTGATTACTTTATTAAAATATTCAAAGTTATGCAATTTACATGTTTACTTCATGACAGTTGTTTTTAAATCACGCGGTTATCTAAACACTTCGGTCAGTATGTTATCGTGAAGTTTTCTCGTACAAATCGCATGACTTCAGAATTTGCATGAAAATGTGCGATTATAGTCCTTCGAAACTCGATAACGTTGTTTTTATTATATAGACGTACATACGTATTTACACAGTTACACATATATGCACAAATTTACGTACAAATACAACTTCCAAATGTATTGAATCTTGATACCAGAAATTTCCAAACACGAAACGTCCTTGAAATATCACACACTATACAAATAAGATTTCCTCATATTATTATTTAGCCACGATGTTGATAACTTCAATTAAAAAATTAATATTTACTGATAAATCCTCTTGTGATAAATTAAGAAATATTTAATAAGCCATTTTTTTCTTATTTCTACATTATAAAATGTTAATGTCGTTAAAATGATAAGATAGAAAGAAAATGATAATGGAAATTAAAAATTACGTTTATCAATTTAGATCATAGTTAAATAACATGGAACTTTATGTTTTAATTTAAAGGCATATTTGAAAAATACATTTATATTATTATATCAGAAAGAAAAAGAAAAACAGAAAATATCATTCACAAATTTTTTACAATTTCACTTACCTCAGTATTTTCAAATTACTTGTAAGATAATAAATGAAGCGTTTATTAAAGATAACATCTATAATAAAGAAATATTGCAAATTTAACGTGTAAATGAAATGAAAGGGATAGGAAAAGAAGAGGAGAGAGTGGAGAAAGTGGGGATGGGTGCGGGGCAGTGGTGACTATACACATTATGCACTTTTTTTGCAACTACTTCGCAAAAAATAAGACGCAGAAAGCCACAATTGTGTTAGACAATTGAGTTGATACACATATAAACAGCTCTATTTCCTACATGCGATCGATATACATGTACATATACACACACACATATATATATATATATACATCTATTTATGTAAGGTTAATTACAAAAACTAAAAATACGATATTTTCAAAATAACCAATTACTATTTGTAATATCGATACGTCAGACATTACAAATTTACGATTACATCATGAAGTTTTTTTTTTCGTTTCTTTTGTTTCTTTTTCTTTTTTCTCGTATCTTTTTTTATTTATTATTAAGAATTATACTTATCGCAAATGGAAAACTATGGAATGAAATCTATCACTGTAACTCTTACATATTCAATAGCAACCGATCGGTAAAAAAGTTGTAGTTTACATGAAACACGTTGGCATTTATATATTCAAGTTTTTTATTAATTATTAAAATTAAAAATTTAATTATATACATATATATGTTATCATAAATATTTAATGCATTAGATGATGATTTTTATGTTTGTACATAAAAAAGAAAAAAGAATCAAAAAGAAAAATTTTATTTGCCTAAATATTATTTTAAATCGTATTATATAGGTGAGATAGATCGAGTGTAAAAATAACAAAAACGATCGATAATGAAAATTAAGCTATAATATGGACACGTACATATGTATATATAAAGACTGGATGTTATTCTGAACATTTTATAACACCATCCACGAGTACTACGCATAATACAACTTGTAAATTGATTGCATAATACGTCAATTTATACCTCGGAAGCATCTCAGTACTTTTAAGACGTTTATTGAATCACAAATTGTGTTGTCATAGTTTTCTTAGCTGTAGTTTCAAGTTGACCTTCTCACTCGACTTTTTTAATTAGTTAATTAATATTTCCATTACCACGTGGTTCTATCACTATAAAGATACTCAATGATTTATTTCCGAGTTAATTTTTTAGATAGCATTTGCAACTAATTATTATATTAATCCCTTATTCCAAGCCATAAAAATGTAATGAAAATGATGTCATTAATAATAATTACACGAATGTTCGTTAATATTTGATAGAAAGCAAAGGAAAAAAGAGAGAAGGAAAAAAGAGAAAAAAAATAACACACAGACACACACACATGTACATACAAGGAAATACCACATGAAAGGTAGAAAATATTGTTTCTCTTGTACGAACTTCTTTACGACGTTTATAGATTTGCACGTGAGGCAATCAAAAGTTGATAGGACTCATGCGATTCGTCGAGAGACGAGTCAGGCGACTTAGAACGGTTTATGATTGGTCGGCTCGAAGCGTGGCATGTTTCCAGGGAACCCGCGTTACCGAAAGAAAATTCAGGCGAATTAATTGCCGATCGAGAATAATATTCATGACATAAAGAAGAAACTTCAATGAACTATCATGAAATATAAGATAAGAATGAAAAGAAAAATAATATCTCCGTATTAGTGAAGAGAAACCATTTTTTTTAACTCACCGGTGACGAATCCTACGCGGTGGAGTAGCACGCTCCTCCCTGAGGTTAGGTTCGTCGTCTCGTGCGTGTTCTGTCATTCGTGTGGCCTTTTTTCAACAATTATCACAACGAAAAAAATATGTAAATGTTAAAACACAAAGCGTGATAATTCGAAACACGTTAGAGAAGCCTCGTTGGTCAACGTTGATCAATTATAGATCGACATTGATCGTTAAGGCAGTAACATGTTCTGTCACCTTCCGTACATTTATCTTTTCTTTATTCTTTTTTCCCACACTAATTTCGTACACACTTTATCACGCGTCGTTAGTTCATATACTAACGTCACTGTCGATTAGACCTCACCTTTTACAATTTCTATATCTCTCTTCGTTTAGTTATCTATATTCTATCACTTTCTTGTTCTAGCTAAACTACTAATGAATTCACGTCTACCTTATCGGTCGAGCATCCTCGGTTCTTTTCTCAGTATTTTTTTCTTATACCGCCTAGAGGTCGACATTCTACAGGCTACTTGAGCAAACATTATGGAGGTATCGACGTTAGACGTTAATTTAATGAGGAATATAGTCAAAAGGGTATCAATAACAAATACGTATTCATATAATTTTCTTTGTCAAATTATTTTAATGAGCTTTAACAGACGTTAATTTCATATTATCTCTATCGATAATCCTATCTATATGAAAATATAAATAAAAACTTTTTCTATTTCGTATATCTATATTTAACTTTTATCTCTTTACTTCTTTATCTGTCACGTAAAACATTATTAATCAAAAAAGAAAAAGAAAACAAAAATATATGCACATCGATAATATTTTATATAATTTCAATAAAATTTATCTATGTTCAATATCATAGCAATCTTGACGATTTCACAATTATTACGATCTAACTTTTTTTCTTCTTTTTTAAGAGTAAACGTAGAAATAATATTGTTTATATGTATGTCAATTAACCATGTCGATCAGCTAATATTAATTAATACATATATATGTATTAATATTCACTTTCACTGCATGCACTTTAAATATTTTCCTAGGCGTTGTTTTGCTTTCTCGATCTTTGGAAATCCCAATATTCTACATCGAAAAAATCGAAGTATATTCACATAGACGTTAAAATGTCGAAGGAATATGGCGGACACTATTCGATCCAATTGACGAATTATGGATATTGCACAAACAATACTCACAATATTTTAAATATTTTACAATACATATTTTGGAATTTGATTTCGGATAATTCTTATAAAAACATGCTCGCAACGATATATCTGAAAGATGAGCAGAATGATTTTGAAATAACATACGATTTACATTACCCACCGAGAAAGCGTTTGTTGCTTTTAAAAAATGAGCAGAACAAAACAAAATTTATTGATTTTTCTTATTGTAGAAAATATTTATCGATTAAACCGTCGGTAAGTTTTAAGAAAAATTGCGTCATCAGTATCTTCTCTCTCTCTCTCTCTCTCTCTCTCTCTCTCACTCTTTGCTTTGCTTTGTTTATTTATTATTACATCTCAAGTTTCCTCTTCGTAGTATAATCTGACTGCAAGCGACGTTGAGAAATTCAAGGTTATCGTATTGGAAGAAATCACTTCTCTATGTAGAGAAAATGCCAATGTTAAGGTAACATACCGTACCGACAGAAGAATGCTACACAATAATCACGTTCCTCTCGATGATGAATATAAGACATGTCAAATATTGAGTACCGCAGTGACGGATATAGTGCGGCAAAGTTTGGACAGCGAGTTCAAAGAAAAGTGCTTCGCTTTGTTAAAAACAGAAAATCCTGGACAGCTGAGAGATTCCCTCATGACTCAATTGTTACCGTTGATTCACGGAAATTATATCTTTTCCATAAAGTAAAAATCTTTTCCGTCGGTTTTTCTTTTTTTATCTCATCTACATCATTTTTTTTATTTAACAGGCAAGAAGAATAGTCTATCAATGGGAATCATTTCTCATGAATAATAAATAAGTATACTAAATTGTACGAAGAATATTAATAGCTTAATGATGTAAGTGCAATGCGTTATAAAAAATTTATTTTCTTTGTTTTTCTTTTTTCTTTTCTTCTCTTCTCTTTTTTTTATATCGGATATTCTTTATTAACGCGTACTTTTTAGCTGAAGAATGCATCCCCCCAATGAGAAGATGGGGAGCGTATATGCGTCAGAATGCGGTCCGATGCTGGCTGTTGTACTGACTTATTACATTCCTCGGAAGCGACTATTAGGAAGCCTCTAGACTAATGGGTTAAGTGAATTCAACAAGAGCAAGAGAGAAAAAAGAGGAGTTCTATGCTTTGGTCGCGCCATTGTTTTCCTACGAAAAATGCAAATTTCTTAGGAAGAAGCATCTAAACTTGACGGCTTTGAATTTAAAGGACCTTCTGCATAAAGGTTATCGACGTATTGTTATTACGATAACATAATCGAGTATAAGAAGTAATACCTTATCGATATTCCACCAAAGTTTCTATAATATGCCTGTCTGTCCTTTCAAGTATTATCTATAGTTTAATCTATTTGCTTTAGATAAGTCTCTTCTATCCCTATGATTTTTCATCGTTGATCATTCAACCTTTTATCATTTGTCGATATTAACATTTTATATTATGAAAGAGAACATGAAAGTTTTGGAATTTAAATCTCGTTATTCTTTTAAAAAGAACATTTACAAAAAGTACGTTTTTTTTAATACGTAATAAAACAATATGTATAAATTATGATTTTTTTTAAACCATGAGACTACAAAGAACAAAATATTATTAAAAAACGTTTATGAAGGAACATAACATAATTAATAAGAAACATCTGTTTTGAAGGACAAGAATATGTCAACAAAGAGTTTAAAGTTTCGCGGGTCTAAGAGCAGAAATGACATGACGTTATGCGTAGAAATGGTTGCGCGGTAGTGGCCTGCTCCCTCCCCTCCATATACGGGCCGCTCGTAGCCGGAACGAGAGGGTCAGGTTAGGCGGGTCTGCTGGGCTGACAGCGCATTGAAAACAGCGTCGCGCTTTCGTAGTATATCTCATCGACGAAGGTTAACTTTTCGACAATCTCGGGGTGGCCCTTAACGATTCTCACATCTTCTCGCGCGTGTGTGTGACGATATGGAAGGAGTCAGAAAAAGACGTCAGTTTACGTAAAATCCATTTCGTTCCTTATACTACAATAAAAAGTGAGAAGAGGCACGCTTGGGACACAGTAAAAGGGAATAAAGGAGAGAGAGAGAGAGAGAGAGAAAAAGAGAGTGAGGGAGAGAGAGAAGAGATACAGTAGAAAGAGAAAGAGAAGTGAGAACACGAATAAGAGAGAGAGAGAGAGAGAGAGAGAGAGAGAGAGAGAGAGAGAGAGAGAGTGATAGATAGATAGATATATAGAAAGAGAAAGACAAACTGCTGTAAAAGTAAACGAAAAAGAAAGAAAAAACATGGCTCGTTTTCCGGCGACGAATGTGTGTTTTCCTTCATCGTCGTCCTTTCGTATTAACTCCACTTTCTATTCATCATTATTATCATCGTTATCGTCATCGTCGTCGTCGTTGTCGTCATCATCATCATCATCGTCATTATCGTCATCATCATCTTTGTCGTCGTCGTCGCCGTTGTCGTCATCATCATCATCATCGGTACTCTCTTCGTTGTGAAGTCTCGCCGATCTATGCCCAGGGGTTCTCAACTCGGGAGTGGTGGTGAATACACGCACGTTCACACTTACTCGATGTAAGTACGTAAGTACATTTCTCTTTTAGCGGTTTCTCGAATCCTACATTCGTAGATTTATTCCCGCATGTGGGTTGCATCTCTCTCCCTATCTCTCTCTCTCTTTTTCTCTCTTTCTCTTCCTCTACTTGTGTATGCGTGTGTTTTTCATGTGGTTGATGCACGGTAAGACTGTGTTTGTGACGCGTATTATTAATACACGCAGGGTGTACGGAAAGAGACGAGAGAGAAATGGAGAAAGAGAGAAAGAGAGAGAGAGAGAGAGAGAGAGAGAGAGAGAGAGAGAGAGAGAGAGAGAGAGAGAGAGAGAGAGAGAGAGAGAGAGAGATTTACGAAGAGGTGGTTGGCATGCGAGCTCCGTCTTCTTCGCGAACGTCTTTCTTCGTCCCTTTTTGTGCGGCCTTATTTGCACCCGCGAATATCAGCGCGCGCGACGCGAATGAAAATGAGCGCGATCTCCTTCTCCGTATTTACTTCCCTTTAGCTCTTTCTCTCTCTCTCTCTCTCTCTCTCATTCCCCCTCCCCCCTCTTTTCCACCAGTTTTCCTTCGCGGCTCACCTGTGTTTAACGTCGAGGACGAATCGAATCTCGGTCGTAAAGTATGATTCTTTCGAATTATAAATGCGTGTGTAGTATGTAGTATATATATATATGTATATATATATATATATATATATATATATATATACATGATCAGTTTATTGATAATATAAACAGAACGAATCAGTATGATTACTAAAGTGTCACTAAGTGTAATAACATAACTTTTCGTTTAAACTAAGGAAAAAATGTTTCATCGAAATTTTATCATATCACGGATGTGATGTTCTAATATATATCATATATCAATATGATCTAATATATCATATATCAATATATATATATATATATATACATATATGATTTACTGATATATTTCGTAATATTCATGATTGCAATTGCATCGTCCTAAAGTTCTGCGAAATGAAGTTGTTTCTTTTCACCTGGCGTGATAGATATTATTGACTCACCCTGTGTACATGTCTCTATCTATCCTATATACATATGGATGTATATGTATGTATATAGTTTAGTGTCCCCATATGACAATTGACTTCCTATGACATAATCAAGAATTATTCTGTACGAAAGAGAAGAAAGAGAATTAAAGGAATACGGATATTTATTATTAACACGTTTCACAAGTTACTGTGATAAGTGAAAAAACACATTCACACATGCACAACATACATATCGTATATCATATTACACACACACATACTGTGTATCATATATTATATATATATGTTATTATATATGATATTATATATGTATATATATATCAACTATTTGTCAATATCCTTTTATTAAAAACTACGAAAATTATTATTAATTATAGAAATTATTGTTGAAGTAACAAGGGTATGGGAGGAGTTAGGATTAAGGGATTATATGTAGCAACGACAACGACACAACACACAACCACAAGACGTCAGTGTGAGGACGCATTGTGTTTTGCGTCGTCGGCACCACCCGGACGTACGAGCGCAAATTCGATGCTTTCTCACGTGACGAGAGGAGAAAGAAAGAAAGAAAGAGGAAGAAAGCAAGAGAGATAGATAGTAAGATAAAGAGTAGGGGAGGCACGTCATTACGAGCCAAGTATGACGATATCGTGCAGTAGAACTCGACTTAACACTTTTCATGAATAATTTTCATGAAAACTGATCGTTTCTTTTATACTGCAATTAAAAAACGTATCTTCGTTTTAAGATAAATTTGTATATATATTTAATCGTCATGATTTCTTTGATACTAACCTATGGATTTCTATCGTGGAAATATAATTATAAAAATATTTTTCTATTAGAATCTCTCCTTTCCTCTCTTCTTCACCCTCACCTATCTATTTCTCTACGTCTCGATCTATTCTATTTAGAACGTGTAGCAATACGTTCGTAGGAAGGATCCATATTTGGAAGGTATATACTTTCAATTCTGTTTTGTTACGTCCTTGAGGAGAGTAGAGAGACGAAAGGGGAGGCAGGTGCGTACAAGATCGTTGAGTCTATGCATGGGAGCTTGGAAATGCAAAAGTATTCTCTATATATTTATAGTATCAAGATGAAATTCAATTCTGTAGTCAATATATACATTCTTATTTGCGTATGTATATATTGATCTTTTCTACAAGTGTGTCTTTTACGCGTGCGTTTTCTACAACTCCCTGTAACAACAATGAGAACAGAGTGCTCAGTAGTATCATCCCTTATTTTGTAAACAGTATGTCGGTTGAACGACACTCGAACCTGGCCGACTGACAATACGATTAGCTTCGTTTACTTCTCGAGTAAACCAAGAGAACGACAGCAGGAGGGTTAAAACTGTCGCAGACGTTTGCGTCTATCGTTGCGATAGGAGGGAGGAAGGGTTGGACAATGATACCGGTTTGCGTATATTTCGTTTCCACGCATGCAATTTTACCCTCTCTTTGCAATTTCTCTCTCTCTCTCTCTCTCTTTCTCTCTCTCTCTCTCTCTCTTTCTCTCTCTCTCTCTCTCTCTCTCTTTCTTTTTTCTTTCCTTTTTCCCCTTTTGCAAGAGGAATAAGTTTGATAAAAGCTTCGAACGGAACACGTTTTACGTATCGTAAAATACCATCGAATAGGCAACTAAGTAACTCCTCAATATTCGTTCTGTTTTACCGATACGTACAATTTATATCAAAATTTCTCTTCGTCAATAAATCTATAAAGAACATATGTAGTCAGATTTCGAAAGTAGATTTCGTTTATCGATCGAGTTAAATGAATTAAAAAAAAAAAAAAAAAGAAAAAATAAAAAAAGAAAGAAAAACGATAAATTACGCTTCTCTCAGATACTTTCGCAATTACATACGTATTTTCTTCTTTCTGTAAAGGACATACATATATATGTATATGTGCGAATACACATGCGATTACATTATAGAGTAGCTTGCCTCCACATAACTCTTCGAGGGTCTCTTTAAGCAGACTCGTCATGGCCCCTCGCGTATCATCCTCATGTCGCACCCATTGCGTAAGCTGGTACACCAAGAAAAACGATCTTTGCGTGTCGGCGGGATATCTCTGGCAATAAACGCATATTTAGACCATATGTACTGAAATATCCAATAAAAAAAGAAAATGAATAGATAAAAATGAAAAGAAAAGGAAAAATAAAAAAAAAAAACAGACATCTCGAAAACGTCTCGAAATATTTCATTTCTTGAAAGAACGAAATATATGTATATATATAATATATACACACACACTTCCATAATAAATGTAATTTAAACACATCATTCACAATATGTCTTGTTCGTTACGTTCGTCGAATAATCTGAATATTTCATTTTTATTAATTAATTCTTCGCTTTCTTTCGTTTCCTCTTTCTCTAATTTGTTTCTTCAATGTTCGCACGGCATCACACTAGAAATGCCAAGCGCGTGCCATGTCCTATTGTCGGCTTCGGTTTCGCACGTGCGAGTCGTTACGACGATGTATATATATGTGTATGTGTGTATCTATATATGTATGGATAGATGTATCTATCGCGTTAGCTTTCACGCAATTCTCCGAGAGGTTTATACTACCGTAAATCCATGATTCGTATATATCTCGGTCACATACTAATGTACAGATTTGTCAGTTGGGCGATATTAGCGTGCGAAGATTTGCGTTTGAATTTGCAGACAGAGTCTGCATCCTATTCGTCTCCGCTCGACGAACTCGCCATGCTGAAATTTCAGTCGCGTCGTTATCTACTATTCTCTATACCTATATGTATGATATATGTATTGTATATATGTAGTATGTGTTTGTACAAATTATGTGTGTTGATCTACGTATATGTACGCTCTTTTCTCTATATATCATATATATTATGTATATATATATATATATAAGCGCACTT